GGATACTTGGTAAATACTTGTGCAACAGAAGAGTGGATTCATCATTTCACCCATACTCTTGGCCCTGAGCTCAGTGGGGAAACTCAGTGGTTAAATGACTTGCTGTGGATCAACCTTTTTTTTTTTGAGAAGACACAAATTCTCCATGGGGGTTGTAACAAATTACCACAGACTTATTAGTAACTTAAAACAGCACACATTTCTTTCTTCTAGTGTTAGAGGTCGGAGGTTTGAAATGAGTCTTTTAAGGCTAAAATCAAAGTATCAGTTGGCCTGCATTCCTTCTGGAGGTTCCAGGAGGGAATCTGTCTTCTTGCCTTTTCTGGCTTCCAGAAGCTGTCTGCGTTCCTTGGCTTGTGGTCCCTCCCTCCATCTTCAGAGCACATCAGTCCGGTCTCTCCTTCTGCTGTTACATCTCCTTTTCTGACTCTGACCGCCTTACCTCCCTTTTATAGCGGTCCTTTCGATGACGTTGGGCCCACCTGGGTGATCCAGCATACTTCTCCCATCTCAAGATCCTTAAATTGGTTACATCTGTAAAATCCATTTTGCCATATCAGGCAACACTTTCATAGTTTGGAGGGGTTAGGATGTGGGCATCTTTGGGAGGGCCATTGTTCTGTATGTCACACACAGAATCCTTGAAAAGGAGCCAGGTGGCTGAACTGCCAGACAGAATGGGCTTTCGGGGATCATTCCCTTTGGCTAAGATGATACAATGCCCTGGACCTTACCTATAAAGTTAATATAATGGGCTTGGGAGGGCAGAGGGGAGCTTGCTCATTGACGTTAAAAGAAATGCCAGTGAAGGCATTTTAGGGAATTAATTCCTGGGTAAAAAGGAGACCCAGAATATTCCACGGCTGGGCCAGAGGTGAACAAGCCTGCTGCTTAGGGGGAGATAGGCTTCGCTCTCTGTTGGAGTAGAGCAGACCTTACTTGGCCTTCTACATTTAAATATAAAGTCTTATAAAACTTGCAAATTACTTTTATCTTATCATTGCCCTCCCGGGAGTTATTAGTGTTTCTAAATTCTTAGAAAACCTAGAAGGATGTAGTGCTTGCCCTAAGGTGAACAGAGAGAGGGGGTAAGACATGAGCCACACCCCACAGGCATGTTTGCTGGACAAGCTGGGGGCTGGAGACAAGGGATTTGGACCCAAGACAGGCAAACTGGACCATCTATTCCAAGTAATTCTCTATGGATGGAAAGTGCCCCAGCTCTGATATTAGGAAATTATGGGGTGAAGCCAGCTCCCCTGGCTTGTGGTTCCAAGCCAGACCTACTAAATGGAAATATTTGACTATTGAATAGAGGGTAGCGTAGGTCTAGCATTAAGGCGGGTTCATCCAACACGTGAACAAGTTAGATGTGGTTCCTACTAGGTTATGGTCCTATAAGGGACATAGACAATAAGCAAGTAAGTGGAAGCATGGAAAGTGAGTATAAACTGTGGTAGGGGCTATGCAAGGGAACGACTGGGTTACTGTGGTAGAGATTAGCGTGGAGGGGTAGGCGGGGGTATGTACTTTGGGTGAGAAAGTCAGTGAAGACCTCTCTGAGCAGGTGTCATTTACAATGAGCCCTAAAGGATGAAATAGAGGCAGTGGGAGAAGCGAATGTGAAGGCCTTGAGGTGGGCAAGAGCTTGGTGGTTTTGAGAAACTTGTAGGAGGTGGGAGACCGTAGTCAAGAAAGGGGTTGGAGGGATAGGGAGTGAGGGGTTCTCAGCAGAGGGAGCAGTTGGGCTTTGTTCCGAATGCAGTGGGAACCAACACAAACATTTTAAGTAAGAAACTGATGTGCTATACATTTAAAAAATAAGACCCTTGAGAAATGTGGGTGTTCTGTGCTCTTTTCCTTTATAAGCTACTAGTTATTGAATGCTTACTACATACCGGGCACTGTGTTAAGCTCTTTATGGACATGATCTGATTTAGTCCTTTAAGCAGGCCCCTGAGTTGGAGAAAATGTACTCATTTTACTGGATGGTAAACGGAGGCTGAGTGAGTAAAGTAACTTGGCCAAGGTCTTACCCTCAGTAAGTAGCAGAGGCGACATTCCAACCCCAGGTCTGTCTGACCCCAATGCCTGAGCCTCTAAGCATTTTGTTGTCTCTCACTTTTCTTTATGTTAAAAAAAAAAAAAAAAAAACAACTGTGGCAAAATAGATGTAATGTGAAATTTGCCATATGAACCATTTAAAGTATACAGCTCAGTGGCATTAATTACATTCCCAGTGTTGTGAAGCCTCACCACTATTTCCAAAACTTTTTCAAGACAATCTTTGTCCTTTCGTGACTGGCTTCTTTCACGTAGCATAGCACTTGGTGTGTTTTCATGGTTCATCCATACTGTAGCATGTAGCAGTATATCATTCCTTTTCACGGCTGAGTAATATCCCCCACTCTTGAGTAACATTGTATCATAGACCACATCTTGTTTATTCACTTATCTCTTGATGGACACTTGGGCTCTTTCCACATTTTGGCTATTAGGAATAGTGCTGCAATGACCATTGGGCATACAAGTATCCGAGTCCCTGTTTTTAATTTTTGGGGTATATACATGGGAGTAGAATTGCTAGGACATACGGTATTTCTATGTTTACCTTCCTTTTTTGGTAAAGATTTATTTATTCTAGAGAGAGAGCACATGTGCCCCTGTGAGCTGGGGAGGGGCGAGGGGAGAGGGAGAGAGAGAATCCTCAAGCAGACTCCCCTCTGAGAGTGCTGTCCAATGCAAGGCTTGATCTCATGACCCTGAGATCATGATCAGAGTCAAAACCAAGAGTCAGAAGGATGCTCAGCCGACTGAGCCACCCAGGCGCCCCTAGGTTTCCCTTTGAAGGAACCACCACACCGGTTTCCACAGCACCTGCATCAGTCAGTTTCCATTCCCACCAGCAATACATGAGGGTTGCAGCTGCTCTGCATCTTTGCCAACTCTTGTTATTTTCCTTTCTTATAGCCATCGGAGTCCTGGGAGGTGGTATCTCTTCATGGTTTTGATTTGCATTTCCCCAGTGACTTGTGACGTCAGCCATCTTACGAGCTTATTGGCCATTTGTTTATCTTCTTTGGAGAAATACCTATTCATGCTACTTGCCTACTTAAAAACTTGGGTTGTTTGTCTTTTTGTGGTTGAGTTGTAGGAGTTCTCTATGTATTTTTGATAGTAAACCCATATCAAATATTTAATTTGATATTAAACCCATATCAAATACTTAATTTGATATTAAACCCATATTTATTAATCTACAAATCTCACATTTTGTAGACTGTCTTTTTACTTCCTTGATAATGTCCTTTACTGCACAACATTTTTAAAGTGTGATAAAGTCCAACTTCCCTGTTTTTCTTTTATTGTTCATGTTTAAGTGTCATTTCTAAGGATTGATTGCAAAATACAATGGAGATTTACCCTTGTGTTTTCTCCTGCCCTTTCTCACTTTTAACCATTAAGTTCTTTTGTATATTTTAGACGTCATTCATGTCATCCGGCTGATATCAGAAACATAGGAAGCTCAGCTAAGTCTGTCCTGGTGTCTGTCCTGCAGGGGCCCACAGAGTAGTGGGGGAAAGAGAACTTCACTAGTGACACTGTCACAATAATCTGTCCTAATCATTCCCAAATGCCAGTGTGAGGATCTTGGCTGGTCTGCCAAAGTTTGTGGGAAAAGAAATAAGAGCATTTTTCATACAGCTAAATTTATTCCATTTAAGGAACTGTCCCTTATTCTGCAAGTGGTTCCTTTCTTTGATGCTAGAATGTTCTTATGACCTGAGGCTGACAGGAGATGGTGATGGTTTTTCTAGATGGTTCTACCTGGCAGATTAAGGATGATCAACCCAGTGTCAGACTTCCAAATCTACAGGAGGAAAATAGAAAGCTAAATGGTGAAATTCGAGAGGTTAGAAGCCACTGCAGATGCTACCATGGGTTTATGTGGACCTGCAAAGCATGTTGGGGGATCCCTGCCCAGGGTTTTAAGGGAAGGCTTCACACAAGAGCAGATGCACTTTCTCCCTCACAGCTGACCTATTTCTTCTTCAATCATCGTCTTTGTGCAAAACTTTTAGACATGGAGAGTGGGGAAGAAAGAAGAGCAAATCAAAGCTCAGTCTGTTTCTTGGACTGGGTTCCCCTGGGCAGCCGCCGACTGATTCCTCTTATAGATTTTACCAGATGGTTTTTCTTTTTCATTTACTTAAGGTATGTTTTAAAAAAGAAAGACAGACAGAAGTCCTACCCAGAAAGGAATACTTCTTTTTTTTTCTCATGGGAAAGAACACTCAGTTGTATTTGGAGACTGAATGAAGTTCTGCCAATGAGTTCACCCTGGTAAAGCACTGAAATTCTCCCAAACATACTAATTAAGATACTTTTTGTCTTTTCTGTTGGTTTTAGCTTTGAAGATACGATAAAAATGGCATGCTGCGAAATTGAGGAGCCAAGTTTGGAGGAAATGACATGGTCTCTATTTGGCAATTAGCCTTGAACTTGAATGGCCTAGTCTAGAGAGTGTTCCCCAAACTTGTTTGGTGGCCCCAGTGCCTGGGCTGTGCTGGACAGTCGTTCAGTTGGATGGTTCCTCTTGGAGTTGTGCAGTGCATGACCCATGTAGCTGGAAGCAGTAGCCTGATATACTCCAGCAAAAATAGAAATGAACATAGACCCTCAAGAAATGTATGCTTGTTTATAAATTATTTATGTGCATATCCACTTAGATTATATATTGATAAAACATGAGTTCTTTTCCTTGTTTTTTTTTTTAATTTAAAAAATAAAAATGAAACTATTTTTAACAGAATTTCATCTGTGCCCCAGTGGATGGTTTTGAACACCCTTCAGGTTAGGCCACCCTACTTTGGAGACACCGGCCTAGAAAGAAGTCCCATGGCCTTCTCTCTCATTCGGGCAGGGCGATGCATTTGTAAGGCAAGGTTGCTTTGTGGCTACAGAGTACTTATGGGTCTGACCCCTTCCTCTGTCTTCAGCTGCTGGTTCCCATTTCAGAGTATACAGTCATTAATGAAGCCTGCCCTGGAGCCGAGTGGAATATCATGTGTCGGGAGTGCTGTGAATACGATCAGATTGAGTGCGTCTGCCCCGGAAAGAAGGAAGTAGTGGGTTACACCATCCCTTGCTGCAGGAACGAGGAGAATGAGTGTGACTCCTGCCTCATTCACCCAGGTGAGTGTGGAATGGGGGCCTCAGGCTGCCTTCGCGTTTTCTGAGGTCGTGAACGGGAAGAGGCTGCACACTTACCTCTGGGCAGGCAGGGATCAGAGGCTACGACGCCATGATATTAAAAGTGGCATAATCCTGACTGTTCTAACTTCAGGCAAAGGGAGTAGAAGAATTAGGACCCTGTCACCATTACCCTAATAAGGGTGTGAATTCATCCGCTCACTCATTCATTTAACAAAAGACTCAGCAGCTCCTATGGACCCTATCAGATACTGGGAATACAATGATTTAAATAAAAGACACATTCCCTGCATTTCCCAAGCTTACAGCCTGGCCGGGGAGATGGAGAAGTAAGCAGGCTGCTGCAATACAGTGCGGTGAGCTCTGTGAGAGAGAAGCATGAGGTACCATGGGAGCGTGGATGGCGATGGGGGCCGTGGAGACTTCCTGGAGGAGGCGATATGTGTGCCGAAGATGGAAGCAGCAAACTGAACAGGGTGGAGGGGATCTGGTAGAGAGATCAAGCCATAGAAGAGAGCATGTGCTAAGGCCCTGTGGTGAGAGAAAGCATCGGGTTTTGGGAATTGCAAGTTCCTTGGTCTGGCCAAAGGGGTGTGTGTGTGTGTGTGTGTGTGTGTGTGATGAGAAACGTGGAGAGTGATAGAGAGACAAAGAGAAAATATTAGAACAATCTCAGGGAGAGAATAGGGCCAGACCCTGAAAGGCTTTGCAAGCTGTGCGATGACTTTAGGCCATCTCCTGAAGCTATTTTAGCAACATCAGAGATCTTTGTGTAAAGACATGAGAGCTGATTTTCTCTGTGGCTGCAGTATGGAGAAAGGATTGGAGGAAGGGCAGGACAGAAGGCAGGAGGGGATCACGGGGACCTTAATGAATGAGGAAGCCCTGTGGATGGAGAGAGGTGGAAGGATTTCAGAGATATGCAAGAGAGTGGAATTGACAACAATTTGAGATTGGCTGCATGGGGAAAGGAAGAGCAGAAATCAAGCATGATGCTCTGGCTCAGAGTTGGACTTTGAGGAGGTGGTCCCAGTAAAAGGAGAGCATCTGAGGGTGAAGCAGGACCTTCCCAGGCCACAGTGTGCATTCCTTTGCTCTCTGTCCCCACCATCTAGGGGACAGTGATTGTCCTTTTTCACTGAAGTGCCTATCTGTCTGGAGGCCCGTGTGGACACTGAGCCTCAGACTGAAGATGTTTCCAGCGTGATTAGCAAGTCATTGAACAATTTCTAGGTGCTTTCCTACCTGCTGCCTGGCATATCTGACTTTTCCCAGGGGAGTCTTACCTTTCCCTGTTAGGCCGGATCAAAAGGAGGACACAGAGAGTTTCCAACACATTTCCCTTAGGCTGAAGACTGAAAGGATGTCAGAAGTGTATTTGGGGGAATTTCTCTCATTTCTGCCTTTCCCCTTTTTTACAAACACACAGAATGACGCATGTAACTGCCAGGAACTTTCTTTTGTGGGAAGCTATAGAAGTGGAAAGCAAATAGGACTCAAGTAAACAAATGATACTTTTAAACCATCTTCTTTCTTAGAAGAGAGTAAGCAATGCTGAATTTGAAAATTGGAGTGACCTCAGTATATAGCCTTTGTATATTTGATTTAAAAGAAATCCCACTGCCCCAATTCCCTGATGGTGAGTGTGCTTTGTAGGGACATAGTGGAGGAATACCTCCAAATTTTATAGGGTCATTTTGAGAGCTTAACCAGGATCTCCCGACTAGGGGTCCTTGGCAGTTGTATTAAAGTCTTTGAACTATTTTCAATATTTTCAAAAGCCTAGTGGTCCCTGTTGGGGTGAGGGCAGGGCTTTGGTTTTATGATATGATAAGTAAGAGAACTCCAGAGGTGGTGTTTGTGCTTCTTACTGCATTGTACAGAAGGCAGTCCACCACCTGCCTCAACTGCACCCAATAGCTTCCTGTTAGGTCATCCAGGAGGCACCCGCTATCACCCCCTTGAGCGGTGCTGGGAATGATCTTTGGATCTAAGTAGTGAAGAGCTGGTTACCCTGAAAGGGAAGGCTGCCTAAAGGCTTCTTTTCTTTTTCTAATTTTCAAAATAGTGAGCTGATACCCTAACAGTCCCTTTTGGTGATCGAAGAGTGTGTGTGTATGTGTGTGTGTGTGTATGTGAGATTATGAATTTAGGTACTTTTATTTATGTGGTTTAATCCATTGCAGTCATGATCCATTTTCATGCATGCATTCCCCCCCATCTCAGGACCCTGGAGACCCCTCTGTGTCCTGTCTTCTTCAGACAAGACCACACTAGTGTTTGAAAACTTCCTTGATTTCCTACGTGACGAGATGTTTCAGGCTCTTCTTGTGTATTTTCTGCCCCAGGCCTGGAATCGGCCATTTCTCTAAGGAATTCTGATCTGAGGCCACACTCTGGGCATCTAACGTGTTCCTTGTTACTGGACTGTCATCGTTTTACTAGGGCTATTATTTATTTATTTATTTAAAGTGGATGGGGCTAGGAAATAGGTATTTAAAAAAAAATGAGTCTATGCTGATACTCAAGTTCAAATGTAATAATATTCCAGCGTTGTTTAATTAACTTTGTTGATTTTGTATTTGTATGTCTTTTCCATCATGGTGGACAGCCTGTTTCCTAATAATATTAACCTGATCACTTATTGCTCTGTCTTATGACATAATATAATTGCACAAAATAGCAATAGCGCTGATTTTGTTTGTAATAGCACCATTAATACTAACAAGACCACTGATGATTATGGTTTTTATTGACCTTAGACTATATATATCCCACTCAATATGTATAGTCAAAATTCTATGTTTTAAAGCCAACCGATGTTGTCCTTTTGTCTGTGGCGTTATATCACCTACTTGATATATAGATAGATTTATTGTTTCCATCTGTTTTCTGTATATGACAACATAAGCAAATATACGTTTGTATATACATTTATATATCTTTCCCCTTCTTGCACAAAAGATAGCCTACAATAAACACTGCTAACTATCTTGCTTTTTTTCTCTTAACAATATCTGCTGGAGATCACTCTCTGACAGTATAGAGCCTTTTTTTTTTTTCATTTATTTTTACAGTTGTATATAACTGCATTGTGTGGATTGCTATAGTATATGAGTATTTGGATTGTTTCCAGCCTTTTGCTCTTACAAATAATACTATAGCGAATTGCCTTAGGCATACATCATTTCATATTTTTGCAGTGTTCTTTGGGGTAGGTCCCTGGGAGAGAGATTGCTGAGTCCAAGAGAGGTACGTATGTCACCTTGCCAACTTTGCCTTGTCCCCCTTGCACTTAGCATTCGCAGCAGCTGGGTATGAGGGCGCCGTTTCTCCAAAGCGTTGTGGATTTTTGCCAACCTCAAGGGTGAGAAATGGGATCTCGGCATGGCTTTAGAATTTCTGTTATTTCGCTCATCATGGTAGACAACCAAGCATCTCTGCCGGTGGCGGTGGTTGCAGGCAGACCAACATCCGGGGGCACCGTGGTGGGGATGTCGGTAGTGACGTCAGTGGTCTCCAGCAGACCTGGGGCCCTCTGTGGACCCAGTTTCCTGTGTATTTTCATGTGGTTCTAGGCTACGTAGCTCTGAACTCGGTCCTCTGGCTTTTGTGGCAATGCTGTGAGCTCCTGAGTGTATTTTCGTGATAGCCTTGTTCACCTTCATCACCTGGCTGGTTTTTGTGGCTTGGGACCTAAAGTCTTTGAAGTTACCGGGCTGAGAGAGAAGGTTGGCAGGGTCACTGGGTGCACGCTCTGAGTCCTTTTGCCTCCTCAGTGGCACAGTGGATAGGGAACCAAAGAGGGGAAAGTGGCACGTGGGTGAAGATGGCCTTTAGAAAGCAGAGTGACTCCGCTGGGACCCAGTTGTGGGCCACATGACTTACTGGAATCTGACGAATCATGTTAGCATCTCTTCTCTGGTGGGAAGAAGCACTGGGACAGGGAAGCCATGTCAGGGTGGTGTGCAAGGAGAGGACTATGAGCCTCTGTCCTCCAGAAACCACACAGTCATATGCTGCATGTATACACTATGGGCCAAGGAAAACGTAATTTCAGCCAAAATCAAAGAAGTGTGCTATCAGCTCAAGGAAATGCCAGTTATTTCAAAAGGTTGAGAAGCCCGGATTAGCAGTTCATCCATCCATCCATATGTCCATTTATTCATTCACTCAAATAGTATTTATTGAACACTCGCTATGTTGCAGATATTAGATTAAGTGCTGGGGATATATTGTTGAACAAGATGCAGTTCCTGACTTCAGTCTGTTATAGGAAAACAGATAATAGGCAGTTAAGATTGAGCATGACATATGCAATAGTAGGGATAAGCCAAGTGGAGGTATGAGAACACAGAATAAGAATCATAGTTCATATTTGGGGTGTATGTACTATGTGCCAGGCCCTTTATATATGTTAATTTAATTTTTAAAACAACCTTAAGAGGCAGGTACAATTTTTAACCGTTTTTTTTTACAGATGATGACATTGGGGCACAGAGACCTTAAGCAGTTTGCTTAAGGAAACACAGCTGGACAATGGCAGAGCCAGAACGTAGCTTTCCATTTTGATAAGTGGGATTGGATTATCTCTTTCATCACTGCCTCCCCCCCCCCGCCCCAAGAGACCATGTTATAAAAATGACCATTACCTGGGAACCACTCAACCCTCTCTGGTGTGGCCTGCTAGTGGGGGTAGCCCGGCACTTTCCAGGGTAAGCCCGTTATTAGGCATTAGGGTTGTTTCCAATGGCATACTTTGGTTATAGAAGTATAGGACATGGAAGAATATTTGATGGAACAGGAAGATACTCTCTATTAGGACCTGAAAAAGTAAGTGACAAAAACAGAATATACAGTATATAGCATAAGTCTAATTTTTAAAAAATTGTTTTTCTGTATACACAGAGAGAGTGTGTTACCAGTGGTTGTTCCCAGGTGATGGACCTCTAGGTATTTTTAATTTCATGCTCTTTGCTTGTCTGAATTTTCTCAATATTCCATGATAAGCATGTGGAACATCAGCCACTGACTTGGAAGATGGTTCAGACCATCCTCCTAGACTCCTCGCTGCGAATTCTGGTGACTCTGGCATTTTCCTAGGAATGAGCATTTTTTCCCAAGGGCTCTGGCACCTTTCTAGGGGCAGAGGCCCTCGGTGGAGGTGAGGCCCTGAGAAGGTCCAGTTGCTCTCACATGCCGCCCATCAGAACTTGCAAGTGCATAATCTAACATCCTTGTGCTGGGACATGTTTCAGGTTGTACCATCTTTGAAAACTGCAAGACCTGCCGAAATGGCTCGTGGGGGGGCACGCTGGATGACTTCTACGTGAAGGGGGTCTACTGCGCAGAGTGCCGCGCGGGCTGGTACGGAGGAGACTGCATGCGTAAGTAGACCCCAAGGCAGCTCCCCTCTCTGGTGCATGCTGCTTTCAAGGCTCAGCTTGCAACAGACTGAGGTTTAGCTGGTTGGAATCTGAGTTCTGGAAAGCTTTGGCCAGAGGGCTTTCTAGGTAAGACTATAAAAAACAAAGACGTATTTCCATCTGCTGGGTGTGGATTGTGGACATCTGTTTGGAATTGGCGACAGGAGGTTTATGTCTGCTCTTAAATCTTTTCCTTTCTCCTAATTGCAGCCAAGACATTCTGCACACAGCATGCCTCGTGTCCATTCCAGAAGCAGTTGTGTATTAACAGTGGTCAGCAAGCAATGAATAAGGCTTTAAATATGCTAAGTCCTGGAGTGTGTTTTCAATCTGAATTTCTATTGGTAAATTTTTGGACTCCTGAGTTCAATTCCTGGAACCCACATCAAACTGTCAGCATGCCACTTATCCCAGAAAAGGGATTCTTTCTGGGTTCGACTTCTTCTCTAAGAATTACTTAATCTTTATTAGGGTTCCCCTCTGAGTTTCAGTAATCCTCTGAATATAGAGTGGAAATCTAACCTCTCAGTTTCAAACTCCCCTCCGCAGTGCCCCAAGGGTGAGTATCCCTCTGAGAGTCTGGATCTGGAGCAATGTACAAACTGTTATTTTGTTAAGCCTATGTTACATGCTCCAGGATGAGCTGACAGTCTGAGCAAATTCCCTCTTATGAATGATATTTCCAGTTTGCAGAGATGGAAGATGGAGTACTATTGGTATTCTTTGCCTGATCCAACCTGTAGCAAAATGCCATGAGTTTCGAGAGTTTCAGGCAAAGGATGAGCTGTGTGGTCTGCAGCCAAGGACCTGAGCTCTACCTGGAAGGGGTGTATTGGTATTTTCGGATGAACCTGGGAGCTAAATTATCCAGAATACAGATAATTTTTTAAAGTGTTGGTCTTGGTTGCAGCTCTAAAACTTCAAAGTCATTTTCGGCGGGTTCTAGAAAACTTAATTTAGTAGTTGGTAGATGATCTTCTAGGTAGGTTAGCTGTGGGATTTAACCCTGGTCTTCCTTTGGCAGCTGTTCCGGGAGATGGTATAGCATAAGGATCAAGAGTCCAAGCTCTGGAATGCTGCACACCTGGGTTTTTTGGGTTTTTTTAAAGATTTTTTAAATTTATTTGACAGAGAGAGAGAGAGAGAGACACAGCGAGAGAGGGAACACAAGCAGGGGGAGCGGCAGGCAGAGGGAGAAGCAGGCAGAGGGAGAAGCAGACTCCCTGCAGAGCAGGGAGCCCGATATGGGACTCGATCCCAGGACTCCAGGATCATGACCTGAGCCGAAGGCAGACGCTTAACGACTGAGCCACCCAGGTACCCCGACACACCTGGGTTTTATACTTTTGCCAGTCACTAGCATTGTGCGCTTGGCCAAGTCATTTAACCTTGCTCAGCTTCATTTCCTTTTCTTTACAGTGGGAATAATGCTACCTCGTAGGGTTGTTTCAAGAATTCGGTGAGATAATGCCTGTGAAGCACTTAATGCTTTGTCTGGCACGTAGTAAAAGCTCAACTAATGCAATAAATATGTCATTATTATTCTATATGCTCCTTAATCGCCAAGCTGGTGGGTGGTCCAGAAATAAAACTACTTTCAGTGAAAGTTTAAGAAAGACATAACTAGAGATATAATGCACAGTTTTAGATTTCACATTGACGTTCGTGGTATAGGAGATAACTTTGGGATTTTTTCCCCTTTGGATGTGGGAGGTGGCTCTTTTTCCGTCTGAGTGAACGGGGTTGTGGTAGGGGGTGGAGCCATCTGCTGGCGTCGGCTCACCCCTGACCTTGGAAGCAGGGAAAGTCGGTAAAGCGTTTAGGTGTTATTCTGAGTGCACTGAGAAGCCATGGAAAGGCTGGGAACTAGGGTATGGCTGAGTGCTCCAGACTAGAGACCGGAGAACAGCTAATCCTGGGGAGGCAGGGACAGGAAAAGTTGCGGAAGGGGCTGATGGCGGAGCTGTGCCTTTGCTCATCTGTGGCTAAAACAGGAGGATGCCGAAGTGTCTGTGATTCGAGACGGCTTGTTCTTAACCACGGTAGCATCCTACCTCCGCTGGTGGGGCCCCCAGTGGGAAGCGAAATCTCTGCTGAGAGCAAGAGTGGACGTATGGCTGCCACTTGAGAATACCAGAGGTTTGGGACGGCCACGGGAGGACCAAGGAGAGGCACCAGCTCATGATAAATTAAAGCTTGTCCAGGCAAGACCGAGGACCCAGTGGAGGCTGGATTTCCTGTAGAGGTGATGCCACCTGGCCAGTGGGGCAGTGCTCTCTAGCAGCATGGGAGCAGAGGTGAATAAAACCAGTCATTTGGTGGATCCCAGAGTTGGCTGAGACATGGTTGTCCCGATTGGGGAGGACATGAAACCAGAAAGAGCCTGGAGAAGGGAGAGGACTAGCGGTGTCAGTGGGATGGAAAAGTAGGCAGAGTGGTAATAAAGTAGTTGAACATGGAGACAGGAGGAGTGTTATGGTCATAGGACAGAATTTCCAAGTGAAAGCTTTCGGGAGTAGGGGTGATAATGTGCTCATCTATACCAGTCGTTTTTCTTCTGTGTAACAAACCCATCTCAAAAGGACAACTGTTTATTTTCCTTTATCATGGGTCTGTGGGTTGGTTGGGGTTCAGCTGATTTCAGCTGGGTTAGCCTGTGTTGCACTCCAGCTTCAGGGCTTAGCCCAAAGAAGAGCAGCTCCTTGGGACGTGTTCTTCTCAGGGTGGGTTGCAAAAACACTAGGGGCCAAGCCAAACACACAGGCACATTTAAGGCCTCTGCTCACATCATATCCACGAACTGGCCGAGCCCCAGATCAGTCAAGTAGGGAAGTATACCCCATCCCAAGGAGGAGGGGGACAGGGCAGAGAAAGGGAAGAATATTCGCCTGTAGGAGAGTGCTAAAGCAAGTAGTAACAAGACAGAGGATAGCAGTCGCCCAGGGAAATCTTGTACATGTGCCTTTCCCAGTAACACCCATTGGTTGAGTCTTGGGTTTGGCCTCCGGGTAAAAGTTGGCTGTATATGGAGTCTGACTGGTTGGATAGTGATGGTGTCCATGTCTAGAATCAAGGTTTTCTTGAGGATAGCAGAACTGGCTCAAGGCAACTGGTCATTGTCCCTAGGAAAGAGAGCAGAGAGCATTATTCCTTTTTCTACCCATCCATTCAAAACATATTTCTTGAATGATGCTCCTAGGTGCTGGACGTACAATGATGGGCAAGACAGACGTGGTCCCTGCAATTCTGGAGCTTGCAATTTAGAGAGGAGAGACCAAAAAAAAAAAAAAAAAAAAATTGGAATGTGGTCAGTGCTATGAAACAAACAGAATAATGGTCAGATTCCTCTCTCATTCTGCATTGGTTCGGTTACGCTTGTTCAGTTTCACTATGCTTGTTCTGAAAGCCTCTTTGCACACACTGTGTGTTATTTGATCCCAGCCATAAGCATTTATGGAGCATTTCTTATGGGTTGGTCATCAGGGAGAACAATGAGCCCTCACCGAGTTTACAGTCCATCTATGGAAACAGGGCTGGACCATACGAAGACATCAATCAGTATGATGGGATTAGGTTCTGATCACCTGCACCTCATATTGGCATTGAATAAATGTGAGGGGAAATCAAAGGAGGAAGTAATTCATTTCCCCGTTTGTTGAATGCCTGCCTGAGGCTGCACCCTGTGCCGCCTGCCTCTGTTAATAGGACGCTGAACACTTGGCGGCCTGTTCCTGGCTGAGACAGTGCAAGCATTTAGCCGGTAGATGGCACTCAAGTGATCCTTTCTGGCTGTTTAATCCTGAAGGACGGCTTCCTGCTGAGTAGCATCTGTCGAGCCCTGGCATTTTTTCTTGGGTGCCATATAGAACCTGGGAAGCAGAAGCGACAGGCAAATGCCAGAGAGGATCAGACTATTTTATATTTAATTATAGGGCTTTCAGTACTGAGCAAATGTTAGAGCCCCTGTATTTGCTCACTGTCCTTGACAAATCTTTGTGATAATTAGCATTAGCCTAACTTACGACAGTCTTAGAACCCCTTGTGTGATTGATTCATTTTTAACCATTGGCAGGTTGTATTACCCAAGATAAGAGGAGAAGGGCCAGAGGTCACTGAGCCCAGGAGAGGACTTTATTCACGTCCTCTTGCCCAAGGAAGATTGGTTTAGTAAGTTCAGAATATCCAGGCTTTGGAAAGGAGCTGATTCTTTCTTCCTTCCCCCAACTTTTTATTTTGAAAAATGTTATATTTACAAAGATTTGAAAGAACAGTACATTCATAGGCGCTTCACCTGGATCCACCAATAATCATTTTCTCACATCTGACTTTCTCTCTCTTTTATGGCACTATGAACTCATGAATTTAAATTGTTTTTCTACATTTTGTAATGTTATCATCATTTTTCTTTTTGATGCTCAAATGGTCCCAGAATTACCCTTCAAGCCAGCTCTACAGCATCATTCTTTAGGCAATTGCTTGCTTTCCCTCTGCTCCCCTCCCCCCGAAATGTTTCAAGTTCACCTTGATTGTGTCCAGGTCCTAGAACCAGCCATTTCTCTATGAATCCTGGTTCCTTTTGTGCGGAATAGTATTTAGGAACTGGGATCTGGATGCTGGCTATGAGAGGCACTGATATTTAAAGTCAAAATCAAGGCTTCCTCCCAAAGCTTCATAAATGGAAAGTTGATGTCTTAAGTGGAACCAGTCCACTGAGCTTCAGAGTGGAGCTTATTCAACGTGGCCCTCAGGCTGTGTTTTAGCCACCAAAATGAGATGAGCAATGAGAGGGCCTAAGAGATACCCAGGATGCCACACTTCCAGCTCACATTTCAGTGACCCAGACTTAGAGACTATGGAGAATTTAGGGGTTGGAAGGTTAGCAAGTCAACCCAGATGAGAGAGGATTTATGGGGAGAAATTATAGACCCTTAATATATTTTATCTTCTTAGCCATATTTTGGATAGAGCA